CTATTCATCTTTAATTGCAAATGCTGGAGGGCTTTATCTTCGTTGTGCTTTAGTATCACCACTCTTCATACAGTCAGTGATGTAATGCTGAGTTTTAAATATGCAGGCTGCCATAGTTTTTAATGGAAATGTCTAGGAGGCGGCTGCTATGTACCCAACGCTTCTGTCTGTGTACTTGCTCTCCTTTTCTCCCTTAACGGCTGTTGCAGTTAATGGTCTCATCCATTCAACCCCACCTCTTCGATCTACTCCCTGTAGATTCATTCACATACAGTGATACAGCCCTGATTGATTCGGCTAGGGCTAAGAACTCACTTCATTACGCTCATACACAAACCCCACACGAGCGTCACTGTAAGTATTCCCTTAATCTTCTCTCAATCATATCAATTTTTAGATTTGAGAAAATGAGCGTGTAAGTCGTAACGTGCGTGATATATTGGATGAATAAAAAAGAAAATGCAATTTTTTAGACCAAATTGAGCCATTGAAACTTTCTTAACACATCATGCACTAATACTCTCAGTTTGCACTAATACTCTCAGTTTGGTTGGTTGATTGGCATATGAAATTCTGTTTGGAAGCTAAGCTCCAGTGTTATTTTTTCCTAAATTCAAATAATCTATGATGGATAGTGGAGCTGATTTTTTTTTGTCTGGGCCTTTCATTAAACCTTTACAGTAGAACTTCTAAATTCAAATAATCTACGAGTTAGTATAACCTCAATAGTAGAACTTCTAATTAAGATATACTCTAGTTATTTATATTACAAAGTACTTATTATACTCTATATTTTTTTGTTTCAGATATACTCTGGTACTTATTTGTTTTGGTTACAGATTTCAGAAAAAGTGCGTTAAGAGTGATCATTTGCAAAAATGATAAACACAAGACCTTCATCGGTTATTGGATTGATGAATAGGTTGGGGGAAGAGCATATGGTACTTCCATAACATTATTTGATTAATGATAAATTTACTTTATTTGAAGTACGTGGTGATCATACAATTCAGTTGATACATTTTGCGCATCACAGGAATGTGTGATGCTAAATTCAACTAAAACAAAAGTGTTAGGGAGCAGCTCTTCGTTGATGGTATTTTCCAACTATGTGCAGGTATTTGTTATTGGCCCCAAACTTTTTTAGGACTAAAGATTGGGTGTGGTTTTGGATTTTTTTTGCAGGTCATATGGTTGCAATTAGCAAGATGTATTGTTTTAAATCCTGTCCATTTGTCTTTTATCATAGGTTTCAAATCATGTTTTAGGTCTATAATATAAAGGTGAATATACCATTGATTGTATTTTTTACATTGTAGCAATTTTACGTTGTATGAATTTAATTTAGTATGTTAATATCCTAGTGGCATAGGTGGTCGTGGGCCAGCTTCTGGTAGTTTGCATTCTAGTCCCCCGGTTTCCAAGCTGCACCAAGCAACACAGCCTCCACAGCAAGCAATTCTACCTATGTCCACATCATATCCGAGGCAAGGAGAAACTGAAGAAGCTGGTAGTTCTTCATCTATCCAACATGAGCCTGCACAATTGTCCCAGCAAATAGAGAAGCTTACTGTGCAACCTGAAGTTGCACCTGGCCATGCTATCCAACCTGCATCTAGCAAAGCAATGAGATTTCCTCTTTGACCAGGTCCTGGATAGATGGATATGAGGTGCATAGTAAAGGCTAATCACTTCTTTGTTGAGCTACCTGTAAGGACTTGCACCAGTATGATGTAAGCATTCTATGACTTGGTCTATAGGACTATAACTGACCTTTGTTTTGTACTTTTGTATAAGGTTCAATGTTCCAAATCCATGAGCTTCTAACTATTCATCTGATGGTATTATTACAATATTACTTCTTTTGTGAACTTTCAGACTTCATGTTTATGTTGCCATTATTGACTCCGAGGTAAATGATAAAGGGTATCCCTTTGCTCAAAATATTTCTTTTAATTAGCTAGCTTAATAACAGAAGTTTGGGAGTTGGAACCTTTACTGATTTTGCCACTTGCACCTACTACATTTTCAGGTTCAAAAAAGGAATCAGACCATTTGGTGCTTAATAATTTCCCAACTACTTTGACCCTTCGACTATATTAGCCTACTACAAGTAAGGTTGTAATTAAACTGCTTCAAAAAAATATGCATTAACACTTGGATTGCAACATTTTTATGTACAGTAGCTATTCATTGTGGGAAGCATTATTGATTTTTATGTATGTAGCTATCTAACGTATCTTGATTTTATTTCTTTCAGATATTGAAAAGCCACCAAGTAGGAAGCACTAGTCTCACGTTGAAGATTAAGTGATTTAGTCATAGGCGAAACTTATAGGAGTTGGTGGATCTCAAATCAGTTTATTGTATAGACTAGTTGAGTTTGTGTTGGAATATGTATGACATTTGAATTGTAAATGATAATTCTTTTTATTTTCAATAAAATACCTTTTTTCATACATTGTCATTTTATTTTTCAAGTAATAATCTTATATTTTGTGTGCATAAATCATTATATATAAATATGAATATACAAATATATAATCAACACTATGTGATACCGATGTATCATAAATTTAATTGATACTAATGTGTCAAAATATAAAGTGATATTATTGTATCATATTTTTTTATGATACTTAAGTGTCATAAATTAGTGACACTTTACCGGTGACACTAAATTTTGTGTCACAATTCCCGACCTTCTTTGACACTTTTCTAGTGTCAGAAAAACTTTTTGTGACACTTATTTAGTGTCACTATAGACCATTTTTCTAGTAGTGGAAGATGAAGAAAAGGCGTCCGTCCCAGAGGCTTGGTTAGAATATCAGCACGTTGAGCTTTCGATGGGACATGATGTACACATAAAGAACCTGCCATAACCAAATCACGAACAAAGAAGTAATCTAAAGACAAATGTTTCATGCGAGAGTGAAAAACTGGATTTTTGCAAACATAAGTGGCACTCAAACTGTCAGTAAATAAACGTGGAGTTGCACTGATAGGGATGGCCAACTCATGTAGTAAATGTTGGACCCATAGAAGTTCCGCCGTAGCATTGGCGATGGCCCGATATTCGGCCTCAGTTGAAGACCGAGATACTGATTTTTGAAGGGCCGATTTCCATGAAATCACATTAGAACCCAAATAAAGAATGTAATCCGTAGTTGAACGACCTGATGTCGTGGTACCACCCCAGTCTGCATCTGAAAATGCAGTAAGATGAAGAGGGGAGCCAGAGCGTAAGAGAAGACCATGACAGACGGTTCCTTTGAGATACCTTAAAACCCGTTTGGCAGCAATCCAATGAGCTGCAAGCGGACCATGCATATATTGAGACAGGCGGTTAACACAAAATGAAATATCTGGACGAGTGAGACCCAGGTATTGTAGGAGCCCAAGTAGACGCCGATAATCAGAGATGTCAAGAGCGTGGGAGGGATCAGCTGATGGCAAGCGTTCATCAGTGGCCATAGGAGTTGAAATTGGTTTGGCACCGTCCATGTGAAATTTGGTCAAAATATCAGAAATGTATTGAGATTGAGTGAGAAACATGCCAGAAGAAGTAGTAATAACCTCAATACCCAAAAAATGATGTAAAACTCCCAAGTCTTTTAGAGAAAAATGGGCAGCAAGTGTAGTCACAAACTTATCAATAAAGGATGGATTACTTCCTGTGAGAACAATGTCGTCGACATAAACTAGAAAGTACATGGTGATACCTTGAGATGCATAGATGAATAAGGATGGATCTGCCTTTGATTTGCGGAAGCCAAAATGAATGAGAAATGTAGAGAGTTCTACATACCATGCACGAGGAGCCTGTTTTAGACCGTATAAAGCCTTCTTGAGATGGCACACATGAGTCGGATGATGAGTATCAATATCACCCGGTGGTTGATCAAGGTAAACAACCTCATGTAGTGTGCCATTAAGAAAGGCATTGTTAATATCAAGTTGACGGATAGACCACCCATGATGCAATGCCAAGGAGAGAACAATGCAAACGGTGACTGGTTTCATGACTGGACTAAACGTTTCAAAATAATCACGCCCAGCCTCTTGTGAGTATCCCTTAGCCACAAGACGAGCTTTGTATCTATCAATCGAACCATCCAATTTTCGCTTGATTCGAAATATCCATTTGCACCCAACAGTTTGTTGACCGGTATTAGGAACAAGATCCCAAGTACCATTTTTTTGTAACGCCGAGAACTCCTCATCCATTGCTAGTTTCCAGAGTGGGTCCTTGAGAGCCTGTGTGACAGTCCTGGGTTCAAGGGTTTGAACAAGGGAATGAACGGTTGACATGTTAATAAAGGAAGGACCATAGTACTTTGGATTAGGATGTTTGACTCTGGTGGGTCGAGAAGGCGGCGGAGAAGAGTCGGGTTGGGAAACTGGAGGGGAAGATGTATTTTGGTTGCGTGGGGTATCATGGGATACGGGTGATATAATATGGGTGTTGGAAGAGATATTTGAGGATTGTTGATTGGATGGAGAAGTTGGCAGTGTGGGGGAATGTGTTTGGATGCTAGTGGTAGGCTGACTAGATAAGGATGAGGCAGGATAAGTAGAGGAATTATCTGGAGGAGTGGTAGCCAACACATTGGTGCGAGATATAAGAGGCACCGAAGAGGAGGTTGTTGACGTATTGGATGGAGAAAAAGAAGGATATATATGATGGATGAATTTGACATGGCGTGAGATATAAAGACGGTGAGAAGACGGGTCAAAACATTTATAAGCCGACTGTGATACAGAATAACCCAAAAATATACAAGGGACAGATTTGGGTTGCAGTTTATGACTAGTATAAGGGCGTAACCAAGGAAAACACAAACAACCAAATGGTTTTAATTTTTGGTAGTCAGGTTCAGTCTGAAACAAACGTTTGTATGGGGAGTCATAATTTAATAATGGCGTAGGCAAACGATTAATTAGATAAACCGCTGTTTGAAAGGCGTGAGGCCAGAATGTAAGGGGAAGAGCAGCCGTGTGTAAAAGGGATAAACCGGTCTCAACAATATGTCTGTGTCGACGCTCAGCAGTCCCGTTATGTTCGGGAGTGTGAGGTGGGGTGGTGAGATGAGAAATGCCAGATAAATTAAGCATGGGCAATAATTTGATAAATTCACCACCATTGTCAGAAAAAATAGTGACAATTTTCTGATTGAGTTTATGTTCAACTAGACGTTTGAATTGAGGGAAAATAGTGGAGACCTCAGATTTCTTTTTTAGAGGATACAACCAGCTATATTTTGTGAAATGATCAACAAATATAACATAATAGTAGTAACCATCACAAGACATTTGTTTTGTACTCCAAACATCGGTGTAAACTAGATCTAGTGGACGAGAACTAGTAAGAGAATTAACTGCAAAAGGTAATTTATGACTTTTATTGATATGACAAGAAGTACAAGTAAAGTCACGAATGGCCTTGGAGGATACATTCATGTCACATTTATTCAATAGAGTAACTAGAATCTTATTTGATGGGTGTCCCAGGCTATGATGAAGATGAGACACGGAAGACAAACTGGTAGCATTGATTGTAGGTGAACCAACAGTGGTGGGAGCATAATAAACACCGTTGACATTTCTACCCCTCATGATGTGAGTGCCGGTTTTCTGGTCCTTCACAACAAAATAAGAAGGAAAAAATTCCACAGAAACTTGATTAGTTTGACAGAGTTTAGAAACCGAAACAAGATTTTTGTTTAAGTGAGGAACACAGAGGACTTGATTAAGAGAAAGAGGACGGGTAGATGTCGAAACAGTGGTTTGACCAATATGAGTGATAGGAAGACACGTACCGTTTCCCAGGCGGATTTCATCAGGACCATCATAAGTTGAAAACTCCTGCAAGGAAGCCACTCCGGAAGCTGCATGATGAGACGCTCCGGAGTCAAAAAGCCATGGTTGAGAAGATCCAGAGAGATCACTGTGAGTCATAGTATTGACAACAGGCGGTGTATGAATTTGATTATCCCGTAAAAATCGGGCAAGTTTGCGGCAATCTTTGACTACATGACCTGAAAAGTTACAAAAACGACAAACTGCACGTGAGCGGCCAGCCGCAGGGACTGGAGAAACACTACCAGAAGAGGACTGAGTCGGACGGTGTCCGGAGTTGCTGCGATGCCCAGAGAGGTGATCTCGCTTGCGGAAATCAGATAAAACAGACCCAGATGAAGGCTGACGTTGAGTTATATTAGCGGTAGGCAGAAAAGAGGGTCCATCATCTTCAGAATCTTTGAGTAAACGTTCATGATCCGTGAGAATCTCTGAAAGTTCAAGCATGGATGTGGGTGTATTACGTACCCGGAGTGCACTGATAATAGATCGGTAATCATCTCCTAACTGATTGAGAATAAATATCTGCAAATCAGTGTCAGAAACAGGATTTTTCGCCAATGCCAAATCACCGGCAATCTCTTGCATGTCTTTCAAGTAAGCCGGAATGGATCTGTTGCCACGGGGATTACGAGAGAGTTTGCTTTTGAGTGCAAGAATACGACCGGGAGAGGCATTTGCATAACTGGTGAGAAGAACATCCCAGGCCTCCTTTGCGGTGGTAACGGCCGAGAGAAGGGGTTGAACAGGTTCGGTGCAGCCCCCAAGAAACGCGCTAATAAGGATCTGATTCTGGCGGAACCACGTGGAATAGCATGGATTTGGAACCTTCTTGGCATCATCGTTGAACTGAGACGGAACAATAAGAGAACCATCGATGTATGGAAGAAGATCAAACCCGATGAGAGTGGCTTCAATTTGCCGGCGCCATACTGGAAAGTTGGTTGCAGATAATTTGATGGGAAAGTTCGTTGGGGCGTTGAGTTGAACAAGAGTGGTAGCTTGTGTGATCTCCATGAGGAGGAGACGGAGAAAAAAAATAAATGTAGAGAAGAATTCTACAAGGCTCTGATACCATGTAAAGAATGTGTATTCTTGTATATTAAAGCTACGTATTACATCAGTATTTATAAGACTAGAAGTAGAGTTACAGTCTAACTCTATCAGATTGGTTACAACAGATATATACATACGGTTATATCTAGATAAACATTAGCTAAAGATTATTAAGTAAGGATAATAACAAATTAACTAGTATATACTCCCTCCGTCCCGCTATGATTGTCCCGTTTTACCTTTTCGGTCCGTCCCACTAAGATTGTCTCATACCTTATTTGGTAAAATTTGTGTAATTCTAAATTATTCTTACTTTATTCTTACTTTATCAATTCAATATCAACCACATAAACCCACTTTTATTAATAAGGGTGCCACCTTCTCTTGTCCCAAACTTAGGGGACGGAGCTAGTATCTTTTATAACCTCTTCAGCATCCAGAAGTCCAGAACACACGCGCTCGAAGAGCTCTTCAATCTCCCGATATGATTTCGCACCTGCAAGTGATATCCTCTAGGCCTTGCAGAAGCGTCTCAATCTTAACGCTACAACACATCCAATCTACCTCTCTCCGTCATGGAACACCTTCTTTGCAACTCGGTTGAGGTATTAAATTACATAGTTTGTAATGAAATCTGCACTTGGGAATTGGATCTAAGGAATCAAACAATCAAGCTTGAGGGAACTATTGGAGTGTTTGAAATCATCGTTTCCTCTAAGATTTTAATATTTGAAGGTAAAGTGTTCATAATAGGGAGTATATTTTATTGAAAATTTACCCTAATTCCTTTTGTTGTCAAATATGGTATGGTTAGATCTTTATGACCCTGTAATCTTCTTTTTTCATACTAGCATATTGGTAGGTGTATATTGTGGTTAGACCATCTCATTTGATGTCGATTGGATGAAAAAATGGTGCTGCCACTAACGGGAAACAAAACTTGATGCACATTATGTGTTTGCGAGTATGCCTTAATGAACTAGGAAGATAGTCATGACTTGCTTTGTCCAGTTTATTAAAGATGATAAGGTTATTGTTAAACTTGAAGTTTTAGGAGCTAAATGATACATAATAACCAGATTTATGAATATGTAAATTAGAAAAAATAAAAAATAAAAATGTAATAATGAACTATATCCCTTTGGAGCTTGTTGTGTAGGTTAACCATAATATGTGAATTTGACTAAATAGATAGATAAAAAGCTAAATAATGAACTAATATACTTAAATTACGCAGTTTGCATAGAAGTTCAACTTACTGAGACCTAATCTAGGTGTTATTTCATTTACTTGTGCAGGTAGAAAGACAGAGATCACTCTCAATCTAATAGATTTGGAAGGTCCTTCAATCTAACCAAAAGATGAATGAAAATGGATTTGACGATGAATTGGATACTAAATCCGAATTATACTTTTCACACTAAAGCTGACTTCATAAGAACTTAATATTTGAGCTCCATTGATTTTCTTTCTTTGCTAGATTTAAAATTCAAGGTAATTTTCTGAGATGGAAGGCCACCGTGACTTTGAAAAATGATCACCTATACCACATTCCATTCAAACAAGTGGAAATCATACCCAAGCTCGGTAGCTATCTTTTAACTTTCACCTTTGTGACTTTCTACTTTATTCATAGAAATATTTGATTCACTAAGTACTTGGGATGTGCATAAAAGTCACTGCCTTTCATACTATTCTACATTATATATCACTATTTATTTAGTATTCCTTATAATTTAGTTAATAAAAACAGGACTAAGACGCTAAATTTCAAATGTGTGCAGGTTTAAAAATCTATTGTCCTTTTTTAATTCGTTAGTTGTAATCGCTTACTTTTTATGAAAGAAACTCTTCACTAGTTGATTTCTGCTAGAGTATTAGTCTTTGATCTTTTTTATCATAGAAACTTTAATTTTCAACTGTTGAGAAACAATCTTTGCTTTCATGGAACCAATTTAAATACTTAGTTAGTCTGATCTTTTTTGTTTGAGAAACTTTTCAACCATTGAAACGTTGTGCTTATGGCAGAATCTACAAGGGAAAAAGCGTGCTTTATGTTGTGGTGATTAACTCCCATCACATTCCTAGGGTTTTTACGGAGTGTAAAAGAAAACAACATCCACCCTGAAATTTTGAAGGTAACAAGCTTAATGGGTATCTGAATGCTTCTTGGATTATGACAGTTTAGTTATATTACACATTTGTTAGGCTAAGCAGAGGGATCATGGTAGTTCACATGAATTTGTATCTACGATGATATATGTGATGGTGACATACTGGAGCTTCGATAGTTCTTTCTATAGTAACTCCCACATTTATTACAAGGAAGGTCCAGATTGAGTTAAATCGACCTTTTTCATCTTTTGAATCAAGTTGAACTCTTTGTTGTAACCTTACAGTAGATGAAAACTACGGCCAATTGATAAAAGTTTAGAGAATTAGAAACTATATGCGAGAAAATCGTGATTTCTAATACTCTTGTGGAGCACTTTTTAACAAATTGAAGGACTTCACCTGATTACTAGGAGCTTTTGTGAGAGTACATAATTGTTTTTCAAATCTAAATACTTATTTACATTTTCCAGATATTTTTATTATATCATCACTTTCATGAGAGTTGTTAAATCCAATACATTCCATTTCAGGTCAAATGTGATTCTCTTGGTTCCATCTGGCTACTAATCTCTGCTGTGGCTGCTAGGAAGCTCCATTTCAAGATTGAAGACATTCAAAAGCTTTCTCACCTTGGAGGGGTATCATGCAAGCATTTTCCTAGGGAGACAAACTCAGTGAAGTGCCAAGTCTTTAGCCAAGTCCAGTTCTGATATTTGTGACTTTAGTGATTAACTGATTATTTTAATATTGCTAGTTTACCCTCAAATGCTAGGGGTAATTTAATTTTAGATTTTTTTGGGTACCCGCATGCATAATGCTTAATTTTTAGGGATAAGGTATATGTCCCCCCTATTTTTATTGTAACGTGCCATATATTGAATAAAAACTTGTTATATGACATTCAATATTTAAATTACTTATTGGGATTGTTTACCATATAATTAAATAAATAATTACGTGTATATATATATGTGTATATATATATATATATTACAAACTGTTACATTAGAGAATGTAACGAAATTTAGAGCAAATGTATCACTACTACGCAAGTTTAGAACTGTTACATTTGTGCTCAATCTTTTGTAACATTTGTGGTATGTTGTGAAGACCGTTACATTTGGTTGTAAAATTCGTTACAAGCTGTTACATTAGAGAAAATGCAACGCGAGCGAATGTAACGACGAGAAACTATTACATTAGGTCGAACGTAACAGTTTTTTGGACCAAAGGTCACGAGTTCTGCTGTTACAAAAGACCCGAAAATGTAGTAGTGTGTGGCCCATTTACTCACCAGCCCATTATTCCGTCTCACCTCTCTGCCCATTTACTCCTTTACTACCTCTGCCCCGGTGGACTTTGTCAAATGCAAAGTAGGTGAGAAATAAGAATAGTAAAAATTGTGTGGCGCGGTTAAGCTTTGTGAAGAGGAGAGAAAATTGTGCAGATACACAATTAGTTGTTTTAATAGGTAAGTGACAAAGTTTTTTGGGACAATAAAAAAGGGAAGATTGGCAAAGTTCAATGGCACAAAGGGAGACATGGAGTATATAATATGTCGCACTATAACTAATTTTGAAAATAAAAAGTCAATGGGGAATTGAAGCAAACATGAATATATCTATTTAAAGTATAAAATTTTATTAAAATATTACATATGATAGTATCTTTTTAATTGGTTTTTGTTATCATATTCTTAAATCTAAATACATGAAATATTGTTTCTCCCATAAGTACTATTTATAAAAACTATAATACCTCCTATTTCCCAATCACTTGTGTCGTAAAAGTGAAAAAATGTATTGTCCAAAGCTGAATGAAACAACAATGAGAACTTTTCTATTTTGTCCGATTATAAATATCACCATTGTGAGTGTGTAGCATATGAGTAACTAAAAAATCTTTCCATTTCTAAATCTTCCTATCATACCCTCAATAATTTTGAAAATAATACACTATTACAGCTATTTTTTTGGATGTATCCTTACTTCCATCACACTATTCCACTATCTTTCCATCATATCTTCAATAATTTATACTCCGTACTTCGTATCCTCTTTCACTATTCTTAATCTACATACTTTTCAAATAGGAAGATTTTAAAGTTATGGATTGAGTAGCTGGTTAAAATCAACTCGTACTTTACAAATCCACTTTTTATATGCAGAATTCACTCAATTTATGTGTCAGATTTTCCCACACAAAAAACAGTTGAATAATATTGTGGCTATTTGTTACTCAAAAGATTGAATTCTTAACCTCCGCCCCCAATCCCCGAGTCGACTAATATAGGTGGTTGTAAATCAAAGTAATTGAATCTCAAATCCAACGATGATAGATTTTATACTTGTGTGGACCACGAGTTCAACCCATAATATATACATGAATTGTAATCTCCGCTTGGTTGTTGTAAGTTTCGATCATTAATTAGTTTGACACCCTTCAACGAAGTGAATTACTCATGAGGATATAAATTATGGGTATAATATATATCCTCATGAGTAATTCACTTCGTTCAAGGGTGTCAAACTATTTATGGCCATAATTTATGGCTATTTATTGATCATTGTTTGTGTGGATCAGAAAGCTAGCCCAGTTCCTGTCCGAGAGTCTTTGTGGCGGACCAATGAACGTAAAAAATGGGTGGTTAGCCGACCTCATTTTCCCTCGACAAAATCAAAGAATTTCGCAGCTATTATGACATGTGAATCCAAAGCGTCAATTATTGAAGGACCCAGATGGCCAGATGTGACCCAACTTCGGCTGCGTATACAATTAGTTTGAGGTGTAATACTTTCTAGAGTGTAATACGAGTAATATAGTTCGATCCATTGCAGTTAGAAAAGATGATGCATTGCTAATTTTGGAGTCCAAGTTCGGGATTGCCAAACACTTCTTCAAGATGGCCCTTGTATACTAACATTAAACACGCTTCGACCTGGAGAATGTTATCAATTTAGAGTTCGTT